CACTCACTCTCACTGGCAGGTAACAAGCTTGCACTCACTCTCACTGGCAGGTAACAAGCTTGCACTCACTCTCACTGGCAGGTAACAAGCTTGCACTCACTGTCACTGGCAGGTAACAAGCTTGCACTCACTCTCACTGGCAGGTAACAAGTTACACTCACTCTCACTGGCAGGTAACACGCTTGCACTCACTCTCACTCGCCGGTAACAAGCTTGCACTCACTCTCACTGGCAGGTAACAAGCTTGCACTCACTCTCACTGGCAGGTAACAAGCTTGCACTCACTCTCACTGGCAGGTAACAAGCTTGCACTCACTGTCACTGGCAGGTAACAAGCTTGCACTCACTCTCACTGGCAGGTAACAAGCTTGCACTCACTCTCACTGGCAGGTAACAAGCTTGCACTCACTCTCACTGGCAGGTAACAAGCTTGCACTCACTCTCACTGGCAGGTAACAAGCTTGCATCACTGTCACTGGCAGGTAACAAGCTTGCACTTCACTCTCACTGGCAGGTAACAAGCTTGCACTCACTCTCACTGGCAGGTAACAAGCTTGCACTCACTCTCACTGGCGGGTAACAAGCTTGCACTCACTGTCACTGGCAGGTAACAAGTTACACTCACTCTCACTGGCAGGTAACAAGCTTGCACTCACTCTCACTGGCAGGTAACAAGCTTGCACTCACTCTCACTGGCAGGTAACAAGCTTGCACTCACTGTCACTCGCAGGTAACAAGTTGCACTCACTCTCATTCGCAGGTAACAAGTTTGCACTCATTATCACTCGCATGTAACAAACTTGTATTCACTCTCACTCGCAGATAACAAGTTACATTTACTCTCACTCGCCGGTGAAAAGCTTGCACTCACTCTCACTGGCAGGTAACAAGCTTGCATTCACTCTCACTCGCCGGTAACAAGTTACACTCACTCTCACTCGCAGGTAACAAGTTACACTCGCTCTCACTGGCAGGTAACAAGCTTGCACTCACTCTCACTGGCAGGTAATAAGCTGCACTCACTGTCACTCGCAGGTAACAAGTTGCACTCACTCTCACTGGCAGGTAACAAGCTTGCACTCTCTCTCACTCGCCGGTAATAAGCTGCACTCACTCTCACTCGCAGGTAACAAGTTGCACTCACTCTCACTGGCAGGTAACAAGCTTGCACTCTCTCTCATTCGCCGGCAATAAGCTGCACTCACTCTCACTCGCAGGTAAAAATTGCACTCACTCTCACTGGCAGGTAACAAGCTTGCACTCTCTCTCACTCGCCGGTAATAAGCTGCACTCACTGTCACTCGCCGGTAACAAGCTGCACTCACTCTCACTGGCAGGTAATAAGCTTGCACTCACTCTCACTGGCAGGTAACAAGCTTGCACTCACTCTCACTGGCAGTAACAAGCTTGCACTCACTCTCACTCGCCGGTAACAAGCTGCACTCACTCTCACTGGCAGGTAACAAGCTTGCACTCACTCTCACTGGCAGGTAACAAACTTGCACTCACTCCACTCGCCGGTAACAAGCTGCACTCACTCTCACTGGCAGGTAACAAGCTGCACTCACTCTCACTTGCAAGTAACAAGCTTGCACTCACTCTCAATGGCAGGTAACAAGCTTGCACTCACTCTCACTGGCAGGTAACAAGCTTGCACTCACTCTCACTCGCCGGTAACAAGCTGCACTCACTCTCACTGGCAGGTAACAAGCTTGCACTCACTCTCACTGGCAGGTAACACGCTTGCACTCACTCTCACTGGCAGGTAACAAGCTTGCACTCACTCTCTCTGGCAGGTAACAAGCTTGCACTCACTCTCACTGGCAGGTAACAAGCTTGCACTCATTCTCACTGGCAGGTAACAAGCTTGCACTCACTCTCACTCGCCGGTAACAAGCTGCACTCATTCTCACTGGCAGGTAACAAGCTTGCACTCACTCTCACTCGCCGGTAACAAGCTGCACTCATTCTCACTGGCAGGTAACAAGCTTGCACTCATTCTCACTGGCAGGTAACAAGCTTGCACTCACTCTCACTCGCCGGTAACAAGCTGCACTCATTCTCACTGGCAGGTAACAAGCTTGCACTCACTCTCACTCGCCGGTAACAAGCTGCACTCATTCTCACTGGCAGGTAACAAGCTTGCACTCATTCTCACTGGCAGGTAACAAGCTTGCACTCACTCT